GAGAGAGAGAGAGAGCGGGAAGGATACGCGGGATAAAGAGATGCTTGTTCGTTTCTGGGGAGGGTTTCGGGGAGGGAAAGGAAACTTACACTTTTCCTTCGTTCGTTTTGTTGTAGTCTAATACCAGGTTGGACAATTTGATAAAATATTCCGGGGCAAAATTCACGATCATCATCTTGTCGTTGATCTTCTTGTTAACGGTGCGCGTCGCATTTTTAAAATAGTCTACCCACGACATCTAAAAATTAAACGAATCCTCGATTATATAGAAGGTAGGTGATGATAATAATCTTACTACTTACCTATTGTCTACTTACTCTACTCTACTCCTCGCCTACTACCTATCTATCACCTATCCACCTACCTATCTTCCATCTTACTTATCTACCTACCTAGTACTATTATACTTTTTTTTTTAAGTATTTAGATCAAAGATGAAAACGCCGACCAATACCATCGCGGATTCACGCGGCTCTACTTGTGTACTTACGAAAGGCGCTTTGCGTTGAAGTTCGTTCAACGACATCAAATTGTAAAGTTTTTCTTTATCCCGACGATTCTCGGGTGACGTCATGATCCGCGCCAATTTCGTTTCGAACTGTATCACATCCTGCATCTGTTTCCTCGTCGAGTTCGTCTCTCCGCCTAACAGCTCGCCGATCTGCAAACGTGTACGAGGTGTACCTGTACTATTACTGTATTCATCGATTTACGAGATTACGAGATTACGAGAGAAAGAGGACGAAATGGACGAGATAAACGAGACGATAATCATTCGCGTTGCGTGTACCTTTGTCATGTATTCCAAATAAGCAGCCAACACTTTACCGTGTTCGGTGATGTTGAGATAATCGTCAACGGTTGGCAGCGTTAAACCTCCCTGATCGATCTTGAAAGTCGAAGAAATCGGTTTTTTTTTTTTTGAAAAAATTGTTCGAACGTTGTTCTCGCTTCACTTTCGAAATATCCATCTTCGTTTCTTACTTGTATAATGTGTCTGCTACTATTTCGATCATCTTCGTTTACCGCCCATGTAAATAAACCATCCATGTTGTAAACATTTTGCAGAATATGCATACTGTTCTGCAAAGACCATTCGCTTATATTGAATTTGCCGGAAACGTTCCATCCACCGATAGTATCCAACAAGTCCAACATTGGTTTCGCACCGAGCGTTTCGATCGTATCGTTCGCGTCCATACACGAGAGAAAATAATACTTTGCTTTTTTCTCGGCCTTTGATTTCATCTCGACCAATGGTTTCTCTATAGATGAGAGAAAAACTATGAGAAATGAAGAAACGAGGAGGAGGAGGAGGAGGAGTGAAGAGGCGGGAGAGAAGAAAGGGAGAGAGAAACGGAGGGAAGATTGATCCTAATTTAATAACAGATAAATTTTTAACAACCACCGATATCAAGAAGGATTCTACCAAGGATTTCCCCCTCTTTTACCAAGGACGTTTTTCACAATTAGCTGATTTTCTTGCTCGAACTTGTCGAACGTTCCCCACACGCTCAGCCCATCCGGTATAGGATTCTTCTTGATCCAACCGCCGCACGCGTATTCGTAAAAATCGTCGCATGGATCGACCGAACGATCTATGCTGTTTATAATGGAAGCGGCTACCGTAATGCAGTGCTCGGTTAAACAGTATGTACCATCTGAAACAAACACATGGACCACCGCCACACTCCGAATCGATAAATTCTTATCCCTATTAATTTGCATAAATTATAAATCGCGACTTTGGAACCGCGTTCCACCTCTTACTTTCTCCATGGGAGGTAACGTGAAGTATCTGCGCTTCGTCCCAACCGTTCTTGCTGTTGATCACTATCGAGAGCATCATCACCATCAACAGGAGGCCCGCGCAAATGATGAAAAGACATCTCTCGAGAGCGCTCCTCGCCCTCCACATCGAGATCCCCTACGTAATACATACGATACGTTCATACTTACAATTTACATCTTACTCTGTGTATCTTTAACTCTTTTCGCTCCTGTTAACAATTTTATCTTTACGAGGCGTCGAAACGTTACGTACGCTTTACTTTCACGGATCAACGACGATGGGGGAAAAAAAAAAAAAATATGGATTCCTTCTCTTGAGTTCCGAATTACTAACCGAATTGTATCGTATATGCGTGGCCGATGTGCTAATGCCCTCGCTGTTCAAAGCCACGGAACCGATGCTACTGCTATCTTCGTCCTCGAACTCGGCTTGCTTGTACATCATCATCTAAGACAAAATTATAAACGTGTTAAATCATGCTCGTAAATGCGCTACCCATAATATATATATATATATATATATATATAATTAACTTATTTTTGCGTTTATTTATCAAAAATAGGCATCCCTTCTTTTCCACATTCTTTTATGAATTGACACGGAACGACTTTGCCGAAGATAAAGCCTTATTACACAATACATAGCCGTATAATATACGAGATAGTGTAATTAATTACTGGCCAATCTTTTTAAAAGCCGCGAAATTCCTGCAAAATGTTTTAACCGAATTGTTTTCAATTATGGAAATGAATGGCCGCTTGTACAGTCGTTCGTGCGATCGTATAGAATGGGGGATAGAGGCAACGATATACGACGACCACGTGTTAAGTCATAAACGGAAATAAAACGAGAGAGAAAACGCGCTACTGTCTTCGCTAACTTGAAATTGTTTGCGCAGCGTGTAACGAAATAACGAAGTAAATGATTCTAAATTAAGAATATATAACGGTCGAGTAAAGTAGAGAGAAAAACAGAGTAGATTCTTTATTCGTCTTGAACGAACGAACAACGCACGACTGTCTTCTTCAACGATGATGCGCAGCGTAAATCGCAAGTGTGAACTTTATTCTAACTATGGACGAAAACCAAAATATAGATAAATACAAATAAATTGAACGGTGATATACAATTGATTATATATATCGATCCTTGCGAAGAATTTTTCGATTCTATCCGAATCCATATGATGCTTGCAATTGTAGCATCGCGTATAGAAAGCGTCACATATTTTATTTTTTTGGATTTTCAATTAATCAGTTTCTTCGATGAAACTATCAAAATCGAAAAGATGTTTAAACCGCGTGAAATGACGTTATTGAAAATTGTTATTTTTGATTATTATATATATATATATACGTTCTGATTTTCGTACAAAAACGGAAAAAAAAATCGACGATAAATAATAATAACATTGTCGAGAAAGATAAGATATCGACATATATAAATAATAATTCTTGAGAAAAGAAAACAGAAGAGACACTTTGCGAAAGAAACACGACGAACGATCGTGTTGAAACTGCAAACTACGTACGCGCGAGCAAGTACACGCGTGCAAACACGAGGATCCGAAGAAGAGCGCGCACGCGTCTACAATTGAGTTGCTTGTTTCGTCTCTGACCTCCTAACAGGAAACGGACACTTGTAGCCTCGTTAATACGATTAAAATGCTTTCTGTCTCATATTGTCTTCCCTCATATTCACGTACTCGTATCTGTGAGACGGGACAATTACCACGGAATAATTCCCTTTTTCAAGCGATATCGCAAGCGTTACACGTTACTTTATCCATAGTTCGCGAATCTCTATTTCAACACCGTTATAAAACTTCAACGCAAACTCCAATATCATCGTATCTAATCGTATACAGGATGTAACGCGATTTTCTCTCTCTCTCTTTTTAATTCTAACATTATAAGTATACTGGATAATATTCGATTTTGCGTATTGCGTCAATAGTACGATGGTACATCATCGTACGAGAATAAGAAAAAAATTTATATATAATTTAAGTTGGGACGAGAATACGCGTATAATATATGTATATATTGATGGATTGTTTACGCGATAATGCACTGTCAAATTCGGAAGTAATACATAATCTGGATAATCTGAAAGAAGAATCTCATCCAGGAAAATTGTTCGTATTACATTTACGTTACGTAATAAGTCGAGTACGCAGTTGATAGGATAACACTTTATAATAAAAAAAAAAAAATAAAGAAATTAACTATAAGATAAAAGGTACGGGATCGAAGCTCGATCGCTATTCGGAATCGATTGAAACGAAATCGTCTATCCGTCATCCGATCATCCGATTCTGATCGGATGATGATTCTGGAACAACATTCTTATCCATCTGTTTCTTCAACTCGTATCACTCACCTTCACCGACATCTTGTCCAGCACGATCGCGTAATCACCGCGCACTATCACTTACAATTTATCGATTCACTGTACCGAGTAGTCGCTTCACGACGACGAAACACGGATTTTCGAACAAAAGGGAGTAGACGGGAACCGACCAGAAAACGATGCGACGGGACAGCGGAGAAATGGATGGAAAGAAAGATGGATGAAAAATCAAGGAGAACGTTCTCGTATTACGCTCGAAATTGTTCCGTCCACGAGACTATGACATTTTCCACCGTTTCCCTCAGTTCGGCCGTTATATCGGCGCGTTCCTAACTTTCCGTGGCTCTCTCTTATGGGGGGATGCTTCGATGCACCTCAACCCCTCTACCAATCTTCTCTCAATATTGATTTCCTCCGAGGCTGAGTGCACCTGCCATCTTTTATCGTCACCTCGTGCCGGTAACAATATCGTTTACCATCCCAGTCAGTGTAACACTTTTTCATTTCCTTTCTTTATTTTTCTTTTATATCATTTTATTCTCTAACCATTACGAGTCTTATTTTTCCGATCAATCACATTTTCTTATAGTTATACTTTTCCTTTTCTTTTCCTCTTCCTCATCCTCTCGGTTCTTTTTTTTCTTCTTCTTCTTCTTTCTTCACCTTTCTTTCTCGCCCCTTCGCAATCCCTTCGCATTTCAATCGACTCGCTAACTCTCCAATCTAACCATTCGAAAAATTTTCTTTTTGCGCGATCGGTAATCTGTTACCGTGCAATAATAATTCTATCCGTGTGAAGAATAATTTTAGTGGATAAACTCGGGATATGTAGAGAAATAACAATTCGATAATCGGAATTCAATGCGATCAATTTTGTACGAAAAAGGTAATAAACTCGTAACAAGTAATGATCGCTAATGATCAAAATATATATGTTGTAAGTTATATGAATAAATATCTTGTCTTTATTTCAGCAAAGACAATCTTTCATATGAGGTACAATATATATCTTACAATATATTAATACGAACATGATTGCACGTTACGGTGAGAGGATCATTTGGACTAGTTATCGATCGTTAGAGTTACGCAGACTATGCACGCACACAAAATATAATGTTTCCTGAACTTATATATGTAGAAGACCCTCCTTAATCCGATACGATAGTAACTCGACGTGTTATTTTATATCTTATGCGTTATTTAATTAGCCTTTATTCAATTGGACTGTTAAAACAGCTCGTCCACTTTGATTCGATTACAAAAAATAATTGTGCATGTACATGTATACACTTATGTATTAAATGCATACGCATACACGCATTTGTATATATACTATATATAGTATATATATATATATGTATAATTTTAATAAATAATATTATATTTTATATATATATATATATGTGCATATCGTTATATCTTCTTTGTTACGAGCTCGATCGATTATCTCTAATCGACATTACCTTATCTAACGAATCTTGTTATTGGCACGTACACTGTTGCTTTTTGGACCGCTGTTACAATTAAAAAACTTGTAATGAAAATTTAAAAACGCGATGATACGTCAAGTCGATTTCTACTCTCCGCTGCACTCGTGCTGCGAAAATAACTGCAACTCTGGCGCGCGCACATTCCGTCGGATAAATCTGTTCCGCGGTAGTAGACATGCCTTCTTACTTTTAACAACATCGACAATGACATTGATTCGTGCGCTTCATTTTTCACTGATATTGCGATTTCAAGTACATAACTTGAGAGAAAGAGAATGATCGGTAAGTAATATTCGATAATTATTTAAGGAAAAAGGCTTTCAGTATTATCTGTAAATACGGATTAAAATCCAATATTTTTTCTTGAATTTTGATTTTTCACCATTTTTCGCACCATCGGTTGCCTGTTTCATCATTCTATATGCTCGAATATACTCTTTTAGCTTCTCGGCAGTCGGCCAACAAATTTTCTTTCGCGTATACACGCGTATACACGCATGCATACATGTGTATCTTCCGTTTTGCCATCATCCCATCTAACAGTTTAACAATAATCGTGAAATTCTTGCTTGCGTATCTTAATAACTTAATAACGATTACGTACATCGACTTGCGTTTGACAAGATATTGATCGAAAAATAATCGCAAAATTGTATTAAAGTGTATATTAGAAAAACACACAAACACGTAATAGATGTTCGAATTGAAAATCAAATACGGTCCCCTTTGTTCGATAAAATATACGATACATCGTCAATTTCATTGATCCGATTCTCATATCTTTCTCGAAAATACAATATACGAAACAGTTTATATAATAAGTTTAATCTAATAATTATAGAATAAGAAACTGTTATACAGCTTGTAAAGTTGTCGTGCCAAGATTAGAAAAGGGTGCGCTAATGAGTTATACTCGACATATTCGTTTATGTAGGACGATTAATTACAGCGTCGAGGGACGCTTTTGTGCGTAATTGGAATTGGTTGAGCTCATTCGTAAGTGGAAGGAAAAAGGAGATAATCAAGCATGTATTTTTTAATCGATTAACTTTATAACTTAAAGCGATTATCGAAGTGAATAAGATCGAAAAATTTTTTGGCAGTATCGTGTATTGTATAAAAAAATGAGATCTAATCGAGTCACGTTGTAATAACGATTGTTGATAGATAATAAATTATTTCCGTATATAATCGATAAATAATCGAGATAAATTGAACGAATAGTGTCAAATGTGGTCCCGTCAGCCTCTTATCTTCTGAGAATCTGAATGGTATCACATATATCCTACATCGATATTAAAGGTATTGGCGATTTTTCAATTTCGTGACTTCAACGATCTCAAATAAAACATAACATTTAAGTACATTTCCCAGTTTAATGAAATTAAATTCCATGTCTATTGAAAGATATGAATAGATAAAATAAATATCTAGATAGATATATCATAGATAAGTAATGTATTTAAATAGATAAAAAGATAAATGAATCGAGAGAGAGAGAGAGAGAGAGAGAGAGAGAGAGAGAGAGAGAGAGAGAGAGAGAGAGAGAGAGAGAGAGAGAGAGAGAG